TTAAAATAATCAATGGAGAGATGTGTCAAATATATATATATATATATATATTTTAAATGGATCAAAAAAATTAAGAAAAAATATTATACTTAGAAAAAGTTAAAATTAAGAATTTTCAAAATTTTTTATTCGAACAGTTTCGAAGGGCCAAGAGTTTTAACCACGAAAAGAAAAAAAAGATTTCTAAAGAATATTTTTCTCAAAATGTTATAAAAATAGTTAAAATGTAAACTTTGTTTTATTTTATCCTACATTTGTTATTTGAATTTAATCTTCAAATTAGATTGCTATAGTAAAATTCAAAGTTAAAATAAAAAACAAACATAGAGAAGAAATGCTGTGACTTCTTATGTAAGCATAAGAGAGGTGATTGGATTTAGTTATTTTGCTGACAAGGTGTCATGTAGATCTAAAATTTCCAAAAAACATGATTACTAAATATTTAAACGACCCGGAATGCAGTTTTGTATTTTTAAAAAAATATTTATTTTACTATTTAATTTTAGTTTTAAATTTAAAAAAATGTATAGGTTTGATGAGCCAATCTTTATTAAAATTATCATTTAAATTTTAATTTTCCGGAATAACTTAAAAAAAGTTTTTTCAAATTCTAAGTAGATTTGAAAAAGAAAAGTCTATAGCTGTGTTACATTTCATTTGACAATTCTTTATATTAAACAATCAATAGTTTTCACAGTAGCTCACAATTGCTTGAGTTGGTTGTCGATCAAGCATCTCGGATTACGATCTAGCCAACAGATGATGAGCAAACGATCTCTCAAAGTGGGAGGCGTGGCCTTATTCCAGGCCTCCAAAGTTGTTAAAGACGCCGATGTCAAAAGCTAAAAGAACACGAAGATAAAAAGAAATGAATTCCCTAAGCTACAAAACAAAAGGTAATGAAATTTTTCAATTATCTTTCTCATTGTGTGCATTCAGGCCTCTTGCCCTAATTTTAAGGACTAATCGTTTATTTTTTTCACGAGATAGACTTTTTCAAACATTTTTGCAAAAAAATTCAATCATTTTTATTCTTTAGTTGAATAAAATTAAAGATTAATTATTATATTTAAAGATAGCAATTTTAAGTATGTAAAGAAAAGTGTTCTGAGAGAGCTTAAATTATATGTTGGATCCTTAAAAAACATTTTGAAAATTCATTCTAATTTCTTAATCTTTATTAGAGAATTAGTCAGATGGTACAAGAACCAAACTTGGAGGCCAAATGGTATTTTTCTCGGCTGGATTATTGATAAATTAGAATGTGTTGGCATCTTGCTTTCAATTTTAAAAGTTATAATCAAATATATTTATTTTTAGTGATATAGACTTTTTCAATAGCGGAAAAAACTATTTCAATTGTTTTTCTTTTCTTTTTTTGTTGAATAAAATTAACGATCAATGCATTAAAATATTTAGATATTGTAATTCAACGTTAAAAAAAGTACAAGAAAGAAAGCACGAATGATGTTGTGTTTTTAAAAACATTATGTACATTTAAGAGGATGATCAAATCTATAGTATTTCTGGCTCTATGGGAATACCAAAAAGCTCGATAATTTTTTACCGTCGTGCTTTGATAATGATTTCGTTAAATTTAACAATAAAATATAGTTTTATAATATTTGATAAAAATTTAGTAAATGTGGAAAAATTTGTTAATTTTATTATGATACTTTCGATGACGAATAAACCTATCATTCGGTACAATTTATTTTTCAGTTTTTTAATTTTTTACTAAATGTGTTGTAATAAGAATTATAATTTAGAAAACTGGGATTTGCACTTTACCATTACCATAAAAACGGAAAAATTACCAAATAAATGGTTAAAATACCATATATTTTAGCTTTTTACTAGAGTTAATATTATTTTCTTAACAACCAGAAATGTCATAACCATACAGTACGATAATTTTATCAGAATTTTTTTCTCCTTCTAAATTCTGTTTGCCTTTTATATTTTAAAAATTATTCACAATAGTACAAAACTGTTGTCATCTAATTATAAATTAATGTTAAAAACTTTTAATCCATTGACTGGGGGCAAAATTATGCTTTTCGAATTCAACGAAATGATAAACTTTTCAAAATTTAACAACTGTTTTTTTTTCTTACGTTTTTTCTATTTATTTATTTTATTATTATTATTATTATTTTTTGTTGAAGAGGCTATGGACATCAACGTGATGTTGAGTTGAAGATTAGGTCATTGATTTTGTTTATAGACTTACAGGTGATTTTATTTTAAAACTGGTATTTAAAAGTTAAAATAACTTTTTCCCGTTTGAATTTGGCTTATGATTGCTAAATTCTATAATAAGATATAACAATTTCAATGTGTGATTCGCTTATGTTCTGTTAGTAACACTCAAACAATGACATTGAATATGTTTAGGATGATTGCTATTATTGAATCAGCCGTTTAGTCGGCCTACCTCTATTATTTTATAATTATAGACAACAGAGGCACCCTGTTGATTGTTTTGTATATGAAGTTAAGAAATCGCTATTTTATCCGAGAGAGTTAATTTATGTTTGAATTAATTTCTCGTACCATTTTATATTTTTCATCTAATTTTTCAATGAGACGTTGTGTTTAATTATAATTAATGACATTTAAAACTGTGTTTAATCAGCATAATTTACTAATGTTGATAATGATATTTTTCTTTGTTATAACAGAATTTATGAAAGTATTAAACATCGATTGCTAGTTGCGTTTAATATTTCAGGCCCAACTGCTCTTAATGGGCTGGTGTGGTGATCGTAAAAACACTATACCTTCAGGAATTTCGCTAATTGTATTTAAAAAAAAAAATACCGCTGCATATGATTCGGTAAAAATATATCAGGGATAATTAAATGAACCAATAAGTGATGGTTTCAATATTAATCGGTGTATTAGTGAATCAGTAAATTAGCAAATCAGTGAAGGAGCAAATCAGTAAATTAAAGGCGTAGTCTTGAACGGGAGAATCATTGAAATAAATAAGTTTATAAACATATAATTTATGGTTCGAATTTCGGTGACAGCATTCATTTTATTTAAATTTTTTTACTCAATACGATTAGGGAGAATTCACTTCAACTGGCATTCTTATGAAAAAAGTATATTAATAAACCTTATTCTGCCTTATAAATTTTAATCTCGGAAGGTAGTCAGATCAATTTTCGATGGGATGATCATTTAAAAATCCTTTTTCCCCCGATCATTAAGTTTATTTTCCTTTGGCAAAGCGTATATAGAGACTTTGTTTTATTTTCCCAGTGTAGAAACATTTCGCCAGATTCACAATAGTACATAAGTATAAGTAAAAGGTTACTTTCTTAACAAAAGGTTCAAAGTTTTTTAATGATATTTACGAAAGAATTTATAAATTTATCATTTTCTTAACAGATGTAACAAAATAAGAATTAAAAAAATGTAATAAAATGAAATATGAAATCGCACAAAAAGACTAAAATATTTTAGGAGCATTACAAATAATGCATACGATATGAGTACATAGCAGTTATCATTGAAGATTTAAACGTGAATACTGAATATATCTCCGTCATAAACTTAATTTTATAATTTTAGTTGAATAAACTATAATAAATGCATTGAGATCAATATTAAATGATATGTTGAATCTAACAGTGTAAGTTTTTGAATGGCACCCTTAATGTATTCGTTAAATCGTATTAATGGAACTTACGAAACTCGGTTCGACAGATGGCAAGTTTTATAAGATCCTGTTTAAAGTTCTAAAGTTATTTATATATTATAAATAAGCATCATCATCATTTTCACAGATAATTATGTTTTTTTAAAAGCATCAAATTAAGTATATGGTTTGAAAATATTTTTTTGGTTTCTCCATATTTTTTTCTTCTTTTTTTTTTCTTTGGAACATTGAAACGTTACTTTCTTTTCTTTATGCTTTCCTCAACGTGAATGTAACCATATAAGAAAAAACTTCAATCCTTAAATTTTTTCTTCTCTTTCAAATAACAAAATTCTAGGCATATTAAAGTGTGTTGGCACTAATTTCTTCCAGACTTAAACAAATGATCTCAATTTATGACAAACAAAATTAACAAAAGAAAAGGGAGTTAGATAACAATTAGATAATTTAAAGGCCTGATACGCACTATAAACACTGCAATTCTTACATATATTCCATACTAATAAACATTTCCTTTTGTACATTGCATTTATTATCACAAGATAGTAAATTAATTCTTGATTAATTTTTATAAAATAATGACTATTAAGTATTTAATAGTCAAAAATATTTTTATCTAAGCAACAGAGAAAAATAATTAATATAAAGGGTTCATTATTGAAAATTAATTGTACTTAAAAATCAATGAGATGATCATGATGATTGATCATCATGGAAATGGTCATATTTCTGTCAATGTCTTTTCAGATTTTAACTTTTAATTAATAGGTTTTCAGTAATTTAAATTATATATTTCAAATTAAAATATAACTTTAGAATATTTATGGTCTATCATTGAATAAACTATTGCTACGAAGTCTACCAAGCATTTAAACAGTATATTTTCACAGTGATACAGTTTCACAATAGATGAACGGAGTATGCATTTTTTATCATAAGCTTCTATTTTCACATGATGTTTTGTAAAGAAGATCTTAAATGTATATTTTTAGAATGTTTCTCAAAAATAAAGTTGAAAAAGTATATATATACGTAAATGACTGGTTTCAAAATCTGACGAATCAGTAATGGGAGATTAAGGTTGAAAACATTAAAACCTGTTTGATTGCCGTAGGAAACAGGAGGAGGTGAAAAGGGATTAAAATAAACGCCTCCGAGTCTCAGGCAATCAAACTGTTTTTGTTATTTTCCCTCCATATTTCTTTGCTAGTGATGTACTAGACTTCGATAGCCTTTTTTTTCCTTCTCAGCTTAAATATGCGAATACTTTTTTTTAAAATTAAATTTTTGAAAGGAATTCTAAAAATATATTTCAAATGTGGTCAACATCCTGAAGTTATAAATTGTAGTTCAGGATTGGTTACTGATTGTACAGATTTTACTAACGCAATTTTTTTCTGCCTTAAAATTGAAACTTACATGTTTTATAGAAAATAAGGATACATAATTATAAATAGTAAGCGAAACGTTTCAAGAAATTTTATGACTTATAATAAAAAATTTTTTTTTAATAAGTTCCATAAAATTTTTATTCTGTGACTTGTGTTAGCCTGCGTGCTTGTTTCTAGTATGCATAATTTCTGCACTTAAACTATAAGTTTGGCGAACTTTAAAGATATTAAATTTTTTCGCTTGCTTCTGTTTTTTTTGAAAAATTGTAAAAAAAAAACGTTGTTTCCTCTACAGCGTAAGTTTTAATTCATAGTAATTATCAATGAAATTTCGTATTTTCGATACCGTTCCCGAAATACATAAAGCCGGAAAGAAGCGATTTACATATTGCCCGTGGAAAATTTGCTAACTGCTGGAGAAAAAAAAATCAAAGCTCCCGTTCTCGAGTTATTAGGGAGCTTTCCCTTTTATATCTATATACATTAAATTTCTTTAGCTGTCACCGGCATAAAATTAACAAAAGTTTCAAAGGTATTCCTTACATGTATGTTAATTATTTATTATTTATTCCTTGTAATATTTACAGTACTTTTATTTATTTATTATATTAATCAATTTAGTTTTAATCAATTATACAAAAATTAAAAAAAAACGTAATATGATATCAAAACATTTTTATTTTTTATTTTAATTGTCATTACGCCTAAAAATGGCTTAAAATTAAAAGTGATGCGTCTTTAGTATAAAGCGGAATCTTATCATGTTACCTAATTATGCAATATTTTGTAATAAATATAATTAGAATGATAAATAAGTGTATTAACTGTACAAATATGAAACAATAAATAAACTATATCTACTTTTATAATTAGCTTTATGCAGAATTGAGCCCAGTGTAATTATTAAAATGAATATAAAATTATGAAACAATATTCGGAATTCACTTTTGCTATACTATGCTAGATATTTTTCGTACTAAAGAAAAATTAAATAGGAATTTGAAAGACAAAATTGGACATGAAATTGCAATGATAACTCAGAAAAATAATTAAATCTAAATTTTATCACAATAGAATCGGGAACTAAATCTATAATAAAACAATAAATCATTTTGGGATCTCTTAATGTAATAAACTGTTTATCGTTAAGAAATAAAAATGTGGATTTGGGGGAGGGAGGTGATACATAAAATACATAAAAAAAACTAATGAAAAAAATGTTTTGTCAGTAAATTACTTCACAACATCTGTAAGTAGATATCATTAAAGCGTCTCGTAAATTGGAAATAATTAGAGGGACTCGAGTTATAGGGCGAAATTAACGGTCATCACCTGTTATAGGGCGACAAATAAAATTACGATTAATAATTTGTTAGCTAATTGCAAATTTTTGACTCTGACAATGCCCTCCACGTGCGTTTAACTTCTCGTATTAGAAAGACAGAGGAGATAAATTACATCTTTTAGTTGAATAAATCTTTCAATTATCGTAATTTTGTAGTTCTGAATGTCAACTCTTTGCACTATTTCTTTTGGACGATACTTATTCCCATTCCAAAAGAAACGCATTCCTTTTGGTTGCTCTCTAGCTGATTGATTATTGATGGATTATCAATGGACAGGTAAGTGAAGTGGCGTCAGTGTAGTATTTATTACTATGGAATCTCTATAGTGTTTATGACAAAGAAAGGCTGCAAGCATCCTTGAAATGTTTAGGTTATTTTACGCTTTTTCAAAATTTCAACGAGACTCAATTTGATAATCAAAGGTTTCAATAGGGTTTAAGTTAATTGTATATTACTTATTTCAATTATGGCCGATAATATCATTTGAAAATAATCTGATCAATATAATTTCATCATTATGATTGCAATTATATCAGTTTTATTTCGTAACGGATCATTTTTTGATTGTTAATGAACATAAGTTTCATGTTGCATTATTGGTTCAATAACTGGAACCCTAAATTTAATTCATTGAAAATGGTATGTACGTACTTAAATTTTACATAAATCTACTTAAAAAGATCATGAATTTTCATTTTTATTTTAGAAACTAACAATAGAGCCGTATTTAATTTTGAAACTGAATATGGCCATATTTTGAGAAATTTTTCAAAAGAAATGCTTTACATTTTAAATAGTAACGGTTTTTGTTTAATAGTTTAGAATTTTCCATTTGTGAGAAAGTGGCCACTACCAAAAATGTTACGACTGGCCACTGGCCGATAGCAAATTTTCCTAATTTTGCCTCATGGCTCGAGCTTACGCACGCACGTTGTCTACGGTTTTGTTAAAGTTTATCAAACTTTTGCTTTCACTTTTTTGTTGATATGTTGGAAGAAAGAGGGTGACATTTCCAGACTCACATCAGTATGATGATATTTTTCTATTTATAACAAACATATTTTTGACTTCTAACTGTTTCGGTCTGTTCCGTTGGATTAAGGAAGTTATTTCCGTGCTTTATATCCTCAAGGATTAACACTCAGCTAAGGGTGATAAAATATTAGTTGCTAGTCTCAAACAAAGACTAACCCTAAAGATAACGTAACTTCAGAAGCAGCGGAATCTTCCTCATCCTGCAATGATTGTTATTTATTAATAAAAAATAAACAATAATTTTAAGGAATTTGTTCTATTAACATACAATGCTAGTGGAACTTATCCATGTTATCTTGCAATATGTGTCTTTTATTTATATAAGTACAATACAAGGGGAAAAAAACTAGAAACACGTAAACGTATTTTTGATTTCGTGGAAAATCTTGCTGACGGAAAAATGGAACTGTTCCGTTAAAGAGGGCCCACAAAGGCAACCCTTCACCTCAACGGTCAATGCAAGTATAAGAAAAAGTTCCCTTTTTTTTGTTCCCTTTTAGCAAATGGCGTTCACACACTTGATCAATCATATTATTAAAAATTATAAACAGCGATTGTTATTGATTGATTACGCATGTTTGGTGATTGTTATGTATGATTGGTGTTTGATTTGACAAAAAATTTACCATCGCCAATGGCCCTTTTAATGGAAAAGTATCGAACAATTCAAAATTTTTCTAATTGATTGCAAAGGTATACAGATTTTGATTGTTACATAATTCTAAACTATATCTGGGAAGAAAAATCCAAAATTTGAAAGGAAGTGGTCGAATGGTTTTTGATATTTAAAATTAAAACTTTTTATAATCTTTCAATCATAAAAAGGGATAACGTCTTTTTAGGATGCATCTAAGAATAATTTATTATATCTTACTTTTAATTAAAAATAAAGGGCATAGATATTTTGGATGTTCACAAAATGGATGTTCAGAAACCGGATTAATCTTCTAAGAGACCTGATTTACTTTAATAATAAGACTGTGTGGAGCTGTATATATATAACGCAAATATCTCATGTTTACAAACCACAAACTGAAGCATTTATGATGGGTTTCCTAATTTTAATAATTATTTTTGAATATAATAAAGTTTAGATACTTAAATTAGTTACTTTATAATTTTTTATTTAAAAAATAAGCAAAATTATTCAAATTTGATCTAATATATTCAATTTTTAATGCGTTCCAGTCGCACACTATTTAACACATAAAGTAAACAACACTTTACTTAATTGCATACAATCAAAGTAAATAGGCAGTTTGTAAAAAGTTTCTAGAATTCTTAACTTATGCTAAAATCTTTGAGAAATTTCTATTCCCTTAACATTTAAGCATTGTAGTTCTTTATTTTTATTTTTTTTCTTCATTAAAACCAATTAAGTAAGCATTTCTATATACTATTTGTAATGCAAATGTTAAATGTGTTAACATCTCTAAGTCTAACCATGCTTTTCAAAGAAATAACATCAAAATTTTTCAAACCAAAAAATAAATACTTGAAAATCAACTTAATTACAAATTAAAATTTAAAAATAGAATTTGTTTCTTGCGTAGTAAAAAGAATCAATTTAAAGTCTCGAAAGTCATGACTTGGATACAATATAAAATAAAACAAAAAATTTACAGCTTCAGAAATGGTTAAAAATTAATGCAATAAAAATATGAAATTGCATATTATATTTTATAGCTGGTGTTGAATGACTAATTTATATAATAGATATGTGACTCTTGATTATCAGTTCTGTAGCTTTGCAAATTTAAACTAACTCAAATCACAAGTAAACTTGTGTGGGACAAATTTGCCTTAACGTAAGTCTGAATAAAACTAACGCACACTTGTGTTATGCAGAGAGAAAAACTAGTAAAATGTCACACTGTTAGTCCGACATTTAAACCAATGACCGGCTTACCTATAGTTTTGCTTAACGTTAACACTGCCAGAGGTGCAAGTTGAAATCCTTGAATTTCTGTTGATGCTGAGTTGCTGTTGTCGATAACTATTACATAATATGAACTTCTAATTGAAGTAGCGGGAATAATTCTAAACGATTTTTTGAATTAGTGGGAACTAAATCGAATCTGTTGCTTGAAGTGGAAACCTTGAAAGTTTCTATTAACTGGCCCCATTGAGAAAAGTGTCCATAATGGGCAAGACTAAAAATCGTAAACCTATATGCATATAATCCAGTACATTTCATGTCAGTACTGTAGCTGGTGCACTAATCAAATATTAATAACATCATAGTGAAGATCATCATTAATCACCGGCATTCGAACTGCTCGTCTATGTAAACGTAGCCAGTGAAACTTTCTTTGTTCCTTGAAAATAAAGATTGATTAAATTTATGGGTACACTATACTCAGAATACCAAAAGCTTAGATATGTTATTTATTATTATAAAGAGTTTGTTTCTGTGCGTATGTGTCCTTTTTATAACTATTGAACTGCTTGTTTTATCGTCTGGGGCAATTTTAGCTATCGATTCTGAAAATAGTTCAAAAATTTCAATTAGATCGTCCAAAAGAGACTTTAAAAATGGAATTTTTCATTGGTATGGAACTAGCGCCATTGAGATAGAAACTTCAGACGATTTTAAACAAAATGTCAGTGATGTTTGCTTGTCTATAACTCTCATTAATCGGAAAAGGAGCTGAGTTTTTTGCACGTTCTTAGATATTTAATTATTTTTTATTCGTTATATCAGATAAATTCAGTGATCAACGCGAGCGTAGTAGCATATTATTAAAAGTATAAAATAAATAAATATATAACAATAAGATTTTATTATTTGCGTTTATTTTTTGTAATACTTTTTTATTTCTATAAAATTAAATAATTTAAAAGCAATGGTTTAAATGAATAAGTTTTGAAATTCCATGATTCATCTTACCTTCCACAATCATTGTTTTTAAATTAACGAAATAATTAAATAATTACAAGTAAATCTCATTTTTTGAATACATCAGATAAGGTATAATGTCTTAAAATAGATTACTGCATGCAGTATTACTAACTCAATGTCCAATTCAATATCTAATTCAGGCAATGTTTTCTTAACCTTTTACTTTATTTTTTTCTTCCTCTTTCAGTTCTTTCAGTTATCCTCACGTTGTTGCTGTCCGTTTCCGAGGCTGGCCATTCATCTTTCTGCCAGATCTGGCAAACTGATATCCAGAAGTCTGAGAATGATGTGAAAGTCTCCCGCAATTATAAGGGACTCTGGCTATCTCAGAAGTGAGTTCTTGTTATTACTTCTTAACAGCCATTAGCTTTTTCTACGGCCCGAGTATTGTCGGACATATATATTACATCCCCTTTTTAGGGCCCGACTAGAATTTTAATTGCAGAGTTGACAGTAAATTATAGACAGCTGATTGAGGACACTCATTTCCTCTTTGGTTGGCGAATTTGAGGATGGGTATAGTGCCCCGTTGTTTGCAATGTTTTTGGCGCCTAAAGAAAAAAAAAGTGTTTGTTGTTTTGTGTAAAAAGGCAATTATGTTCCATAGACTTTAAATTGTATATTATAGGAAAAATAGTTTGAATTATTTGCAATTGTTTAGAAAATAATACAAGTAAAGCTGCATATTAGATCCAAAAAAAATTTTTTTTGGAATTTTTAATTAAAAAATATACCAAAATTTGATAATTTGTAGAAAAATAATGTAAATAAAACTTGACTATAGAACTTACAGCTATTACGATTTGATTAATTTATTTTATAACTTTATTTTTTTGAAATTTTAAGTCAAAAATGTTCTAAAATTCAAAATAGTTTTGTTGGAAAACAATACAAATAAAAAGCGAGTGCAGAACTTCTAACTATTTTGCTGAATTTTTATTGCAAAAATATTTTACAGATTTAGTATTCTGTTAAGGACTAAAACAAAGTTAGCTCGAGTGTAGCACTTATAATTTTTATTTTCCTGAATTTTTAAGGCAAAATCATTCTAAAACTATAATATTAAAAATAAAGTTTGATTATAATTATTATTTTACTGAATTTTTAAGCTTTGATGATGTTTTAAATAAACTGAAAATGTAATGCAGATAAAAACTGAGCATAGAACTTGTCTTGACTATTTTTCTTAATTTTTCAGGCAAAAAGGCTTTAAAGTTTAATAATCCTTTTGAAGACCGAAACAACTTAAATGTGAATATAGAACTACTGTTTTTCTTCTGAATTTCTAACGCATAAAATGCTTAAAATTGAAATAATTTGTTGAAATAACAAAATAAAATTTTACAAAACAATGTGACATTAAAGTTTTGTTTGCATTAATATACAAATAAAGTTTGAATACAGAATTTATAATTATTATTTTGCTGATAGCTGCCTGTAGATAAAATGTTAACGTGCATTGATAGATATTTTCCTCTGCGTCTAATGTCACAGAAATATTAAAATGTATAAACTTACTTTGAACTAAAACACTTATACTATTATCTTAAACTGACCACTTTTAAAGCTGCTACTCTATACTAAAAAGAAAAAAAATACTTTTTTGTTTGTTAGTGTATATTAAATTTTAAAAAGGAAAATTTTTTTAAAAGATTTTAATAATTTTTAAAAGGATTTTTTTTACAGTTCTCAAACAAATATATGTATTATTAAAGATATCAGCTGAAAGCTTTTGTTTATTAATCTCATATGTCTGTATCCCGTATTTGTAAGCGAAGAATTCGTATCATAAAAATACTTTTGTTTTTTGACTATAAAGACTCAATATAAATGACCTCAGACCAGAAAAAAATATAATAAATTTTCTAAACATAAAAACGCTTTGTAATATCCCAGACATGAACTTATATTTACTCATTAATATGTAAAAATGTATGCTTTTTTACAATTGGAACATTGGATCAAAGTTGGGCTAGTTGTGATAAATTAAAATTTGTAATTAAGCTTGCATGCAATCATAATTGCAGGCAAGCAATTATGATAAATATTAAAAAAATTTATTTAGTTCAAAGTTTTTGTTTTAAAATATCTAAAAGACAATGTTTGTCCCAGCAAAGGGGAACTTTTGAACATCACTTATTTTTTTAATCATTTTAGGCAATCGCCCTTACAGGTTATAAAATTCTTCTTTAAAATCCTATCAGAGAACTACAAAAATAAGTAGGAATTTTAATGATATACTGAGTTTAATTGTGATTATACACATCTGATGTGATACATTAGATTGTACTGTGCTTAAAATAAAAAACGGATCACCCTGAATATCTTTTGAACTTATGATCGGATCTTCACTTTCTAGGAATCCATCTTAACAGTTTGAGGGGTGATCTCAAATATGCTAATTAATTGGTGCAGACGATATTTAAGTTAAGAAATATGACACAAAAACGTATTTTTCCTGAATAAGCAAACCTTTTTTTCCGACAGATGCGGATTTTTTACCCGCTAAAATATCTGGTAGCCGCAATCTGGAAAATAGGGTCCCCATAATTTGGTCAGGAGAGCGATCCAAAGTTTGGACCTCCTAATGTTAGATTTATTTATTTCCTATTTCGCCATATCTCGAGAACTTTAAGCGAATGGAAAATCTTTGCACACAATTAAAAAATTCGTTTATCCAAAGATAATTCCGCGCAAAAAATACATTATATTAAATATTTACTATTTTTTACTATTTTATTCAATAGAAGTCGTAAAATTTCGAATTTTAAAATGCATACCTTTTTACTTAATTTTAAAGTATCAAATTTTGCATGGCAAATGACAAAATTTGAACGCAATCGGTTGAATAGTTCCTGAGAAATCAAATTTTTAAATATACGACTTGTTTAAAATTCGATTTCTCAGGAACTATACAACCAATTTGACTCAAATTTTGTATTTTGCCAAATAAAAATAGATACTTTAAAAATATGTAAATAATTGTAATTAAAAATATGTAAATAATTGTACAATTCAAATTTTTCTTGACTATTGTAAATAAAATAATAAAAATCAGTAAATATTTACAAAATTATGCATTTTGCATGGATTTATGTTTGGATAAGTGAATTTCATAAATTGTGTGCAAAGTTTTTTTTAATTCGCTTTAAATTTCTCGAGATATGGCGAAATACACAAAAAATAAAATTAACACCAAGGGTCCAAACTTTGAATCGCTCTCTTGACCAAATTATGGAACCATATTTCCCAGATTGCGGCTACCCCCTATATTTTGGGGGTCAAAAATCTGAATATGTCGGAAAAAAATTCATGTTTATACAAAGAAAGTACGTTTTTTTACTAATAATAATGTGATAAGTGTTTCTTCATCACTTTATATCAAAATACTGGGACAGAACAGATAGCTGCGTGTGTGGCCATAAATTGAAAAGGGGGTAGGAAATGGCTATATATTACGTCATCAAGGGTGGGCTAGAATTTTCTTGTTTGGTTAGATACCTGTCGTGCATGTCACAAAATTCTATGTCTAGATGTCACTCGAAGGATTTGAAATGTCATTCATACAATTTCCTTTTTTATTAATATTTATATTCACGGTTAAATATCTTTACCCATCAGTTCAAAATAAGATTTAAATAAAGTTATTTTTTGTTACTTTACCTGTTTGCTTATTAATGGGTCTATTCAATGTGTACACAAAATATGTAATGACAGTGACATTTTAACAGTGGAAATAAAATAAAAATTATGACAGTGACACGTTTTTTTTATGTTTGAGTTATGAATTCTTTAAACTGCCTTTCGTCACTCGTTTCTTTTTGTTTCGGTGTCAGAAGTTTTAATTATTGATAATTTTAAGAACAAAAATAACTTATCATTAAAAGAGTTATATTTAAATAAGGATCACTTATAGCCTCTATAAACAAGCAATTCTTTCGAAAATGTTCTTAAACAGATTGTTTGCGATTAAGGAAATCTAATCTCGACACGGTGAACACTTTACATAAAATTCAATAAATAATATTTTTAGAAAGATTGGTGACTGTTTTAACCTTGTAACGATCATTCTATTTGATTTTTAATAACTTTAAGGCACAAAATATTAGTAATGTAAGTGCAGCTCCACAAAAAAAATATATTTTGAAGAAATTGAAAAATTCTTGTTTTGGCACTCTTAATACAACTGAAAGAGACGTGAGCATTTCAAATGTTTTTTAATGCACATAGTTGTATTAGTTGTATATAAGTATAGTTCTTATTACAACACATTTAGTAAAAAATATAAAACTGAAAAGTAAAATTAATCAAATAAATCTAAGGTATCACGATAACATTTCTGAATTTTACTACATTAACCAAATTTTATTACTTGTTATAAGATCATGTTTTATAGTTGATTTCACCTAAATCATTACAGCGCTTCGATAAAAATTACATTGTTTTTGGTGTTCCTATAGAGCCAGAAACGCGGAAAATTTTGTCATATTGTGCTAGTTTTGACCATACTTTTTTTCAAATGCAGTATGCATTTTCCGTATCAGATATTTGCGTTTTAAAGCTCCCGTTTTCCGATTGTATGCCGCAAATTATTGTAGAAGCGAAGAAAAAAGATAAACATTATCTAAATTGTACCGGATTAAAACAGAAAAAGTTGGGTCAGAAAGTATTAAAACCTATTTGATTGCCGGCGGAAACAGACGAGGATCAAGAAGCGATTATTTAAATTACCTGTGAGTTTAAGCAGACAATCAAAGGGGATGTAGTATTTTTTCTAAACAGTACAGGGTGTATTGATTTCTAAACAGATTTCAATAGTGTTAATGTTTCTCCCTGGCTTGAATATTATAATTTTTGCCTCCTAACGTGTATCCTATTTTTCTGATTCTAAAAATATCTATTAATGGCGGTGACTACGAAACACACTGCATAAACTGTTATCAAGTTAAATTTCTCAAATTTGAATTAGCAGAATTTACAGGTTAACTATAATGATCCTACTAACCTTTAATAATAAACCTTTATTTCCATCTTTTACCAAATGGTAGGGCAAAGTTACCTTAGTTTACGATACATTTAATATCTTAATTAATATCTTATTATGGAAATCAGGAAAAAAAAATGAGCAAAAATTGAAACTAAGAAGTTTAAAAGAAGTTACTGTAAATAAAACACAAAATTAGAATATTTTTATTAATGATTTCAAAAATATATTAAATTTCTTTTTCTATTTTGCATTAATTATTTTAAACTTTTGAGATAAAATCTTGAAGCATTTTTTAAAAATTGTCAGCAGATTGAGTTTTTTTTAAAATACTAGTTAAATTTTAAA